TCACTCAATGTTAACACTCTTGAGCTGCTGTGAGAGATTCTGTAGAGACGAGCTGAGCAACACTCCCCATTAAAGACCAGGGCATTTAAGGAGGTCGTCCTCCAGGAGTTAAACAGCACAGATGTGAAAATGTGTCATGAACTTGTACACTCAGTGCCAAGAAGAGTCAGAGCCAGTGGCAGCTGGTCAGGGGAGGCAGGGGAGGCCCACGAGCCGCCACTGGTCAGAGCAGTATACTTTAAGTTGAGAAAATTTGTCATGAACTTGTACACTCAGTGCCAAGAAGTGTCAGAGCAATATACTTTAAGTTCTGGAGGACATACTAAGTACTAGAATATTATACATTTTCTGAATTAAATCTACGGTGTACTCATTTCTGCAATCCTTCATTTAAACGAAATTGGCTAATTTACTTATCTTACAGAAAATATTGGCATATATTTTGTTGTTTTTATTAAGAATATGTTTAATATGTTTCAATTTTGCATCTTTCCATGAATTATATTAGTGATCATTAAGAAAATACATCTTTTATATTTATTCAGAGGGGGTGTACTCATTTATGCTGTGCACTGTATAGTTAAATTCTGAACAAAGGCAGGGCCTAATGCTTTTGCTTGGTTTCTTCTTATTGTTCTTACCATACCCCCAGTAAAAAATATCCTTTAACTCAAGAACATAATATCATATATCTTAGTTCTTCCTTTTCTTTTTTTTTTTTATCGACAAATTCACCCTGCTTTAAATATATATATATATATATATATATATATATGGCTATATATAAGAATGCGTTGGTGAGGAGGCAGACCATGTTAGAAAGTAAAAAACAAAACAAAATATTGTAGGTCAGATATGTTTATGTTCTGAGCATGTAGTAGTTATGAGAAACTTTGGTGTGATTACTGTCAGAAACAAACACACTGACTCTGAGCTGCACTCTGAGCCTGTCTCACTCTCAACAACACACATCAGCATCTATTACTGCACATTACAATGGCAATACTGTCTGCTTGTGCTTCTGCTTCCTCTTCATATCCACCTTATTTTTGTAAGTAAGCTATTTTCTGTGAATGTGAGAGACATCCAATCCATTACCCACCAAAGAAGAATAAAATAGTGCCATAAATGCTGGGTAGCTTACAATCACATTAAAGTTATTCTGCACCTGTGTTTATGTTAATAAAGGTTTAAAAACGATAATGAGGCATGAATGTCCACTTACATCTTTCCAGAGATTGAGGAATAGCTGCTCTGTCTGGAACTATGCGGTGTGGCCATTCTGACTCCTTACTTCAGCATCGCACCTATGAAACACAATATTCACAGACTGAATGCATGCCATCATGAAGAGCTCACAGAACAGTAAAAACAGCAAACACACTCACAGTGACCACCAGTGGTGGACAGTAACGGAGTAGTTTTACTTCGTTACTGTACTTAAGTAAATTTTTCAAGTATCTGTACTTTACTGGAGTAGTTTTATTTTGAGTAACTTTTACTT